GATAACCCTTCATAAAGGTGACTCTTATTGAAAAAAGGGGGACAAGAAGCCCTCACAGAGCCCTCTCCATCACTGCATCTCTTTTCCTCTCCTCCTTTGTTCGCATTGCTGACAAGCTTTCAATTCACACAAAGTGCTCTTCCCACCCCATTGGCTGTTCCGTTCCCATGTGACTCGAGTCGACCAATAGCGGCGCAGGCACATTTGGTGCCGTGTGAGGCTGGAGCGACGCTCCACTACATCACTGCAGCAACAGGCTGCCATGGCAACACACACGGCCACTATACCACACTGTTTCAGTGGCATCACTTTGTGTGTATTTGCCTGTGTGCCTATGGTGTATAGACACTGGGTCCCCACAAAAAAATAAATCGGTGGAAAAGACGATCCTTGCACAGTTCTTTTATGGGATCAGAGCTCTACATGGTGAGGAAAGCCCTGCGATGTTGATATGACGGTAACATTCAAACTGAGCATTTCTGCAGGCTTTCTGCTTGAGACAAAATTATGAATGAACAATGTGAAGTGATGTGAACAAACTACTGAAACAAGATAGTTTTGATTTCTGATATTTAGTTAATTCATTGAAACTCTTAAGTCTTCCTGATGCAGTTCTACATATTCTTGTCCTGAATCTTCCTCATGTCTCCCTCAGGTCTAAAGGAATTGTCCTAAACATCTCCTCTGCCAGCGGCATGTACCCCGTCCCTCTGCTTACAGTCTACTCTGCCACTAAGGTATGTGCACTTGAGAGAATTATCTATGGGAATTAAATAATATTGGTCAGCATCTGCTTGTTTCACCTTTTTGTTTGAGATCACAAAGCAACACTTTTCAGGCTGCTGTGTTAAAACTGACAGTCTTTCCAACATCTTTTTTTCTCTGTGTGCAGGCTTTTATGGATTTCTTCTCCCGTGGCCTTCATGAGGAGTACAGGCGTCAGGGCATCATCATTCAGGTGAGTTTAAGGCTTCTCTGATAGGATTAATCTCTCTCGTCCATCCTGCAAGAGCTTTTTTTTTTTTTTTTTTTTTTGTGGTTTTGAGGGAGCTGTCACTGTAGGCTCCCCTCTTCTTCTGATGCCTTGTTTCCTTTTTGTTTTGTTTAGTAATTAATAGTACACTGAGTGATGTCTTAGGAGTCTTTTACTCCACACCCTCCATGCATGTTTAACAGAACGTTTTGTCGGGGGAAAATGTTACCTTAAAGTCTTCAATGTTTCATAATTACTTAAATGGAATATGCAAGAAGTATTACCTGTTTACTATATTACATTAGAGTCTCTCACAAAGTATGTGAGATCTGTCCAACCCAAAGCTAGAGTCTAGATGAAACTCAAACTCGTTACCCTCCCCTTTCCTCCCTATAGAGAAAATGGAGTTATACACATTCAACAGTGATTCCTCTTGCATGCAGTTTTTCGACAGAGAGCATTTTCAAACTGTTATTCCAAACATGGCTTGTTTGTTGTTTTTAGCATCCTTTTAAAGTCACTCATGCGCCACCTTGTGGTCGCAACGAGTAACACAGTTTCTCCTCAGCAGACCTTGAGAGTAATTTCACCTGATGACAAGGGTTGACAGAAAATATTCAAATGTGTTTTACAAGATTGAATGTGTACTGAAGTGTGACTGGTCATCACCATGAGAGGACAGATGCTCTTATTTATTTTAGATTAGATTTTTGCCTTTTTGATCAGACAGTAAATAAGAGTTGGAAATCTGAGAGAGTGAGGATTGACATATGGGAGAGGAGTCACAAGTCAGACTTGAACCTGGGCCGAATTTGTGGAGGACTGTGGCCTCTGTACGTAGAGTGCAACCGCAAGGCCAAACGTGCCCCGAGGACACATCATTTGCCACCATTTTAAAACTTTACAAACTGAGAAATAAACATTTTCTGAGCTGCAGATGTCATGTAATGAAGCTGCAGTTGTGATCTGTTAAATCTAGCTTTATTTGGAGTTGATGATATTATCTAATCTGTTTTCCTTCTGTCTCCCCGCAGAGCGTGCTGCCGTTCTTCGTGGCCACGAAAATGACTCGTATCAGGAAGCCCACCCTGGACAAACCCACACCTGAGCGCTACGTTGCAGCTGAGCTCAGCACTGTGGGTCTGCAGAGCCAGACCAACGGCTACTTCCCCCACGCTGTCATGGTAAGAAAGTAGAAACCTCGAAACATGAAAACTCTCCTGGAATTCATTCAGTAGAGTTTGAATTTGGTCGGATTTATATCAGACTATAAAAGATGGAACTATCAGTCTAAGTTTTTGATATATAATTTATTATTTCAAGGTCAAATAATTTAAAACGAGCAGGTCCCTCGGAGAACCGGGCCTGACTTAAGGGCCCTGATGTTCACATGCAATAAATAGCTTTTGTTTGTATTTTTTATGGAGAAGGTTGAAGAAACTGAGACTGGATGCTTTTTTCATCTTTTTTTTTTTTTCTCTCCAAGCAGTCGTTTAGGTGCTGCAAATTTTTAGCTAAATTAAATATTGCTGTAATTTCAGTAATATATGTTCTCATATATGTGGCACTTGTCCAAACCAAGGATAAAGTGTTTTATAAAAGAATATTAAACTCTCAAATGGAGAACAAAATGAATGAGCAATAAGATCATTTAAATAAACGTACAGCTGTTGTTTGAATACATTTTAAACTCGTGCATTTGTTTTTTTACTTCTTTCTTGTCTTGCAGGGTTGGTTGACCACCAAGCTCGTGCCGAACAACCTCGTCATCTTCTTCGGCGCCAGAATGAACCGTCTGCAGCGCACCGGGTACCTGCAGCGCAGGAAGCTGCGGGAGCAGAAGAACGGCGTTGGTTTCAAAAGTGAATAAGAAGACTGCTTCGATGAATCTGTAGACGGTTGCTTTGTTTTCAGCTGCTGTCGCATTTAAGAAAAAAAGAGATTGTGTGTGTGTGTTTTTGTATCTGTGCGATTGATCCTCAAGCGTTACCTGAGATTTCACCTTTGTGCCTTCAGTAAATGTGCGAAAAAGATTGTGCATGACTGTGTTTAAAAAGGAAAACTCTGCCCTGATGTGATTTGTCCAGACCAAAATAATCAAAGATGGCAGGAGCTGAAACCATAATAAAGTGCTGCTCTTTGCAAAGGACATTTTTATATGTGTATATATATATTTGGTCACTGTTGGTGGAAACAATAAAACCATGAAGTGATTTGTTAACCCTGCTGTTGTAAGCAGTGGAAAGATGGTGACGGGTATCTTTTCTTTTTTTTTTTTTTTTTTTTTGTACGTATAGTTATTTATTTTGTAAGAGCACACGAGCCAAAAACAGACCTTCAGTTTTCAACCTGTTTTCTAATCAGTGAGTCATTTAAAGAAGACAATTCTCCTTCCTGTCATGTCTGTGTAATTCTCTAATTGAGCTCCTCGTCTATTGGCTCTTACTGCCTTTTTTTTTTTTTTCTATGATATTGTGTGTGAACATATTTAAAATGATACTCTGTGGTGGGTTGTTGGGGCACCGATGTGTCACTTCTTCCAAGCCAAAGATTGTCATGTATTTTCCATTGCTGCAGTAAACAGAAGTGCCTTTCTACTGACGTGAATGGTTGATATGGTCGGATTCAATGAGTGGGGCAGTGCTGGTTGAAAATGTATTAAGGATGTAATTCACTTGGTGCTAAGTCTTACTCCCCAAATCCTGCCTTTTAAGTCAAAATGGAAACCTTTCACAGACAAAGGAGAGCTTACTTACCTCTGAACATGAAGTTTATCCGGTGTGTTTCTTAAAGATTTCTCAAGGGTGAATAATAGTTTTACATTAGAAGTTGTAGTTTCATTTACAGTCTTTGTCACATCTCATACTGTCTTAAGTCTGCTCCAAAATAAACAACATTTTCCTCTTTACAGTTGGTGTACAGTTTTAAAAGAATGCACTGTTTACATTAATGAGGCTGGCAACTTTTATTTTATACAGTTTGTTAATAAAAGCTCTGGCATACAGGAAGGTATTGTGTATTCCTTTTTTTTTTTTAATAACTGATTAAAATGAGAATATATACTTTATTCTGCAAGTGGAAATCAATTTTACTCCGTTGTTGAGCATGCTACACACACAAAGGCTGAAATACACACACATGCACAACCAGAATATGGACATGCACTGATAACAGCTATGAGATTGAACACATCTTCAATCTGTCAGTCTTTGGCAAAGGAAAACTTCCTTAAGAGGCACAAACCTTGAGTAGAACCGGACTCATTTTGAACGGTCATCTGCTGAAAATGTGTTGATTGGAATTATTCAGATCCAAATAACCGACTACACGTGTGAAGTTCAAGCTCATGAAAATGCTAATTTAAATCCAAGTCCAGGTGGCCTTTGGATTAAAGTTATAACTACTAGAATAAATTCCCTCTTTTTAAAACTCTTATTTCAGCAAGAGGAATAATGACCGTAAAACCAACTTAAATAATGCAACATGGAAACATTGTACTTAGTTATATTTCCCCGCTGTGGCACAACAACTGGAGACAAGAAGTTCTCATTTTCATGAAGTGTTTCAGTGTAAATGAAAATAGTTTGGAAGTGAATGTGAATATTTATTTATAAGGAAAATGTACTTAGAGTATCAAAAGCAGAAGTATTATGTATGGTTTATGTCTTTTCCAAAGTACGAGGTGACAGTTTAACTAGCTTATATAATTATATATTCTGCATACAAATTTATTTCAGGGGTGCTGAGATGATGATTGAGCGATGCTTCAGGCCCCAGATAAAGGGTCAAAAATCATATCCTGATAAATTCTTCTGAAATTCTGAAGACGAATGACACAGATTGAGGGAAATGTTTCTGATTACCTTACTTTCCAACACAGGAAATAGTTAGTGTGTTAAATGTCTTTTTTTTTTTTTAATCTTTATAATATTATATTGATTTATATTTATATTTGTGCTGTAACGTCATCATTTATCCTACGCGGAACCAATGTTTACATATCAGTTCCGGGTCGGATTTATTTTTCTGTAACACACTTTCCATGGCTGTCAGGTCACAGTGGTCCTAACTTGTGTGCGGTATCTTCTTCTCGCTGTAGTGTTACGGTTTAGCCACCGTTTATGTAAGTCATTTAAACATCTAATCACACTTTAATCACCTAATGTTTGTTTTGAATCTACAGAATCTGTTTATTGAAGTAATGTTTGGAGGAGAAGCTAACTTAGCATCGCGCTAGTTATCTATGTAGCTTTAGTTAGCCGAGTGTTACCTAAAGAACTACAAATACACTTTGTACACATGGTGTTAACATGAGAAATTATAACCAACTAAAGCAGAGACGAGTTTTCTTAAAAGGTTACTCAACATGTCATATTCAAATGAGGTATCACTCATGTACTTTAATGTTTAATGTTTTTATCTCAGAATAATAAATAGACCAGACACTGAACTCACACTATGGTGCAACAGTTTCACAATGTTTGCCTTGTTCTTTTTAATGGAACTCATCTTATTCTTTTGACACCTCCCCATATTGAAAAATATCCAATACATATTTGATCGCAACAAAAAAAAAGTGTCCATGAGATGTAACACACCCATTCATACACCTTCATACGACGCTGACGAAGCAGTGGGAGCAACAGGGGGTTAAGTGTCTTGTAGGGATGTAAGGATGAATCGTAAAATCGTGATAAATGGATTCAAAGGTGTCAAGATTCACATCGGTACTCTGAAAAATGAATCGCAATAATATAGTGAGCAGCTGCAGAGCAAGATTTTGAAATTGAGGACGCACCACCGTCTTTCAAATCGGAGGTGTGGAAGCATTTTGGCTTCCCCAAGACAGAAAATGAAAGAGGTGAGAAGATAACAGACGAGACAAAAACTGTGTGCAAATATTTTAAGAAGACGGGGCACTACAAAAATAACACAACCAACAAGATGCAGCATTTAATCTACAGCCCAATGAGAAGCTCCAATCACCTCCCCTAAAGGAATCTTTAACAGTCATCATTTGTCTACAGTCTCATTTTGTAAAATAAATCGTGAGAGAATCGTATTGTATCATGAGTTGAGTGAATTGTTACATCCCTAGTGTTTTGCCCTAGGACACATACGACATGTGGCTGCAGGAACCGGGGATCGAACCCTCGACCTTCCAGCTGAGCCACAGCAGTATCAAGATCACAATTTGAATCAGGATACCTTACAACCAATCAGGATATGATACATGATCACGCTCATGCTTCTGTCTGATTTTAAAGATTAGGAAGTTTTAATGCAGTGATTAGTCGTCTTTTTGGATGATGAAAGCTGACTTCTTCTGTTTTTCCCCCTAGATGTGATGTCAGATAAGCGCCAGCGTGCCAGAGTCCAGGGCTCCTGGGCCAAACACTCAGGACCAAAAGGTGATTTAAGAGTCGTTATGAGTCAGTGAATTGTTGGTCAAGAATCCCTCTCCCTACTCGCTGCTCCCCAAAGACTTGGCCCATTATTAGTTGTTTTACACAATACATTACAGCACAGTCTGTACCCAAAGCGCCCTGTTTGATACATTTTAAAAAGTGTTTGTTTTTTACAGGTTCAGTCCAAAACAACCAACAACCTAAAAGTGTCCACACTGCTCCTACTTCTTGGGGATGTGGGCCACAGAAAACGCCTCAGACATTTGAGTACCACCAGCCCGCCAAAGTAAACGACACACACACACACACACACACACACACACACACACACACAGTTTTAGAATGAAACGCTTGCCTCCTTTTTCTCTGCTGTGACATTTGTTTTTTTTCTTTTCAGCAACTCAGAGAGGCTCCACCTGAAAAGTTGATAGAGTAAGTTAAACTTTGCATTCTCGCATGATAGACCTCTCTAGAGTTTAATTTAATGTGACATCTGTTTAAAAATGATTATCAGTCCACTATCTCGTGATGTTTTTGGTTCTTATTTGGCCAAATACCAGGTCTACTAATGAACTCAATTTGGCTCTTGACAGAAATGCAGGTGATTATGAGATTAGCTGCGGACCATCAGGAATGTCCAGGTGAGTAGAATCTAAACCCTCCATTTGAAGTATGTGTATATAAAACTAGTAAATTACAAAGGGGACTACAAAACATTTCTGTGACAGTACCAAATATGTATTTATTGACTCATCTGTGATTGCATTTAAAGTCCACTAGATGGCAGTCATTGCATCAGCAATATGTATGTAGCGAAGACTAAATGTCATGCCTCCGAGTCCTACCTCACTTTTGTTTTTCATAAGAAGTATAGAGATAATAAGACAGAGATGTTTAACCATTGTGGTTTTAGATTTTTAGATGTCTGGGGTGCCTACCTCCAGACTCTTTTGAACATCAGCTACATACCCCACACCTTACTTTTTGGGTTACTTAGTCGGTGTAAGTGTGTATTTTGTCTTTCTCTCCGTCCAGGCTGCGGCTGCTTCCCGGGTTTCTCTCCCCAGACGAGGCAGACTGGATGTTCAGTAAGCTGCTAGCAGAGCTTCCTTGGTCCCAGAAGACCAACTTCAGACAGGGTGGGTACCAGCCAGGGCTGTAAGAGTAAGCAGAATATAAGGAGCTAAATGTGATCCAGTGATGCACACTGCAGGTTGAAATGGGTTTCCCCACTGCAGCTGCTTTTTCTAAGGTTTGGATCGAGATCATTTACTGAAAGCAAGTAGCTTGTCTACAAACCCATAATGACATTTCAGATTCTTTCATTTTACATCAGGGAGCTAAACAAGGACGTCCAGTCTCAGGCTGTTTATTCAATCTTATCATTGAACTGTAAGCAGAAAGAAATAAGGTCAGAAAAGAAGGTTAAAGGCATATTGAATACATGAAATATTATTCTGCTGTGATGACATCATTCTGCTGATGGGTCATTTTAGTTTTTGGTACTGTGAAGAGTATTACTTCTTCTTGTCCTCATCTCTGGGACCGGTTCATTGTACATGTAAAGAAAGTTGTTGGAGAGTCAACACCTCGACCACAGCTGCGAAACACTCTGAATTTGTTATTTGGATCAAAGAATGTGTTTGGACATTTTAAGTGCACATCTGGGTTTCATAAACACAGAATCAGTGATACACAACCAATGTGTTCACCTCAAGTAGATAGAAAGCAGAGTAATTCTAGCAAGAAGAGCATGGCTGCAGGTTTTTTGCTAAGACTAAGACAGAGTAAAAAGTTCCTGTGAAAGGAAAGAATAAGTCACATTGTACCCGGACTTCATACAGTGAGCCTGTTGAGCTGCAGTCAGACTCGGCCTCTCAGAAGCCGCCCCTCTGTCAGCTGGCTCTCGTCCATCTCGTGTGTTACTCTGCGATAGCTCCGTGGCAGAAGAATAGCATCATAAAAGACAAGTGAGCAAGATGATTCCAGCCATAGTTCACAGCTGCAGGTTGTGTAATCTCAATCCATCACTGCTCAGACTTTGTCAACAAAGTCCATGTGATGTTTGGGTTATAGAGGAAGGACTGGGAGGGGGGACCTTGTCACCAGTCACCTCTCCTACATCCTTTCTGACTTCTTTTAAACCCTGGTGACTCAGTTTTTCCGACCATTACTCAGGTCTCCCAAATTTAATCCTGTCAAGAATTTGTTTAGATTTTCCTCTGATAGCAGATCTTTACTGACAGAGTGCAATGTTTGATCCATGACCACACATATTTGAAATAATAACTCCCAGAGTCCCTAAAATAATTTAATACCATAAAAAGCCAGGGCTGCTTGAGCAGTTTGTTTTGGCCGGCCAGATGCCAGAGAATCGCTTCTTGAAAGGGAGCTGGTTGTTTCCCAGATAAACACCAAAAACCACAGAGAATAACCAAGCGGCAACCTCTGTGGTTTAAAAAATCAAACCAAGGCTGGAGTGTAAAATCCTGCAGTTCATCGAGGGTCCGCTTGAGGCTGGTAGTCAAATTCACACCACATTCAAAAAAGCCGTTTTTACAGCATAAATAAACATGTTTACAGCCTGGTACAAAAAACTAAATAGGTCTGATTAGTTATTGTCATCACTGGCTCACATTGTAGGGGGATGACTTTTTCTTTTACACATCTGTTTTGATTTTATGAATGTCACGTCTTATCCAGAGTGAGGAGTGTAGCTGACATGATTGACAGGTGAGCGCCATGTAACAGTTTGTCAGGAGGCTTAAAACCCGCCTCAGCTCCAGCTCTCAGCCTGTCGCAGGTTGACTGAAAGTTAGACTGAGACAGGATTTCCGACATGGCGGCTGCTGCTGATGAGCCTCCAGAGCCCCCTGCAGGAACAGATGGGTGACGTTACGCAGGCTTCATCTTTTAATATTTACGGTTTATGGAGAATAACAGACAGAAATTTTTTAATTGAGATGTTTACCTTGCCTTACCACAGCTACAAAAAGATTCATGTGACGTAGCAGATAATCACCGCAATATGTATTGAGAGGAATACGTGAATAATTGTGGGCTTTCATCCTCTACATACACTCGTGATCATTCAACACAAAAGAGGTCATTTAAAAACACACTACATCTTTTCTTCTCTTTTGAAGTTAAAACTGTTGTGACCCAATTACTGCGGCAAAATGCAGATGATCATCCATAATTTTTTTCCCTTTATCTGAAAGAAAAAAAAGAGACTACAGTTCAGTAAGTTTTGAGGTGAAATGAGAACGTCTCGTCAAACCTTAAGCAAAAGCAGTCTGCTCTAAAGGCGCAGAGATGTACATAGATATAGAAAAAACTACTTTTTGTTAAAAAGATCCCTTCCACAAACACATAAAATCAGCCAAACGCAACTCTTGGGAATATTACAATTATAAGTAAGACAACTGAGATGAGGGGTTTTAGCAATTATCAAAGCAGTTTCTGTGTCTGTAGCTTTAAATGTAAATGAGCTGTGTCTGACCACGCCCCCTCTCTGGAAGAGCTTGGGTGTACTCGGGTTTTCTCGCTCCATGCTCCATTGTTTACGGTGAGATGGCAGACTCAGAGGGCAGAAGAAACACCTAGCTGTGGGAGTGTCACCCACCTGGGGGAGGGGCTACTGCTCTTTGTGATGTCATGAAGGGAAAATCTCCAAACGGCCTGTTTGAGCACACATTTTCTGAAAAGTGGAGCAGGCAGAAGACGGAGAGGATGGACTTTTCTCATGATTGGGGGGTTTGTTGACAGACTAGAGACACATATTAGAGTTAGAAAAACATGGTGAAGTTAATTTGCATAATATGTGACCTTTAATGGTTAGGTTCAGCTGCTTTGGGTTATTTCAGGAGTGGAAATGCAAAGAATCTTTCCTTGGCGAGAAAATCCCACTGCCCTTTGCTCTTTCTCCTGAGTCTTGGGGTCAGAGTGGACTTTATGCGCTGAGACAAGGAGCCCTTTGACTAAATAATGTCAACATGCAAAACCACAAAGCTTTTGTTTTTCATCCATAAGAACGTTAATCACCACTTTGTTAATTTTCAAATATCAGCTCTAAAACTGGATATCAAATCTACGTTCTGCCTGAGAACTATTCAATGTGTCTGTACTAGAAAAATATCAACATCAGGCTTCAGATGCTCGCTCAGATATTTAACTTTAATATTTCCTGATGAAAAAAGTCTTTGAGAGTGTAAAAACGCTAAAACAGGATTCATCATTAACATTTTGAGAGATCTAAATGCACTTTGAATGGACCTAGTTGTACAGATAGGCTGAAATATGTTCTAATAATGGTCTAAATTGTTTCTTTTGAGGTAAAGCTGTATTTATTTGTTTGTGTGCGTTGGTGCAGGTGAGGCGTACGACGAGCCCAGAATGACCTGCTGGTACGGAGAGTTGCCTTATACGTATGCTCGCTCCACTATGGCTCCAAACTCAGAGGTTAGATCATCTCTGTAAACATTATGGTCTTTCACTTTCTGTGTTTTTCTTTTTATTCTTAGTTTTTCTTGATTTGTTCTTTTTTGTTTTGTTGACAGTTACTCTCCTTATTTATCACCTTAAGTTACTTTCCCTTTTTTTTTTTTTAGTGGCATCCTTTGCTGTTAACCCTTTGCGGTGTGGTGGAGCAGGCGAGCGGGTGCAGCTTTAACTCCCTGCTGTGTAACCTTTACCGAGACGGACATGACAGCATCGGCTGGCACAGTGACGACGAGGCCTCTTTGGGTGACAAGCCCACCATCGCCTCGCTCAGTCTGGGCGACATCAGAGTGTTCAGCCTCCGCAAGCAGCCTCCACCGGTGAGAAGAGATCCAATAAAGCAAAAATAGTCCCCAAAAACGACTTTTGAGAGATTTTGGTAAAAGTAGAAGCAGTGATTCAAACTTGTTTTTAATCTAATGGTGATAAAGAAAGTTTTATTTTTGTTTTGCTTAACATCGACCATAAATTCCGCTCTCAGTTTTATTAAAGTAGTCTCACAAAGTGTTGGGCTTCTTAAACCTGCAGACACTCTATAATCTATAAGCAACCTTTGCTGTTTCTCACGAGCTCGTTTGACAGTTACACTTTACTCCAGGTTCAACCGTTCATCTCCTACTTCTATTTAATAAAGCAGAACTGAGCTGAAAATCCTGATCAGAAAATCAGAATAGCTACAAGGTGAAGAAGAGGAACACTGGACATAGAGTGAAGGCTTAAGTCAGGTGTTGTGTTTAGACTCAGCAGAACATTTGGACCTCTACATTTAATAGATCATGGGTTTAAATGAGTGGTTCTCTCAAAAAGCGTGTTTATACATGTTGTATACATTGTACCGAATGTGTATGTGAGTGTGTTTCTGGTGTGGGACAGCTGGACATTCTCTTCATTTTGTTTTTGTTAGGAGGAAAATGGTGACTACACGTATGTGGAGCGTATCCGGGTTCCTCTGAGTCACGGGACACTTCTGCTGATGTCAGGAGCGACACAGGACGACTGGCAGGTAAGTTCCTCCAATCGAATGAAATGACCCACTAGGCTGAAAGAATAATAAACATGATACGTGATTGATGAGGATTCAGGTTCAGGTGGATTTAAAGTCTGCTTGTATTTTTGTTTTGTTTATTTTTCATGTTTTTACTGTAGATCGATGTCTTCTTCCTTTTGCTTTTTTTGTGTGATCGTCTTGACTTGCATAAGCTACCTCAGGTTTCCTCTGTTGATACCAAACCAACTCCCTAAAACATGGATGACTAAAACATGGACGCATCTCAGTGTCTGCACCCCTTGGTTTCTTTTATTTCTTGGGCCTTTTAGCCTTTATTGGACAGGACAGCTGAGGAGAGACAGGAAATGTCGGGAGGACAGAGTAGGGGATGACATGCAGCTGAGGTCGGAGTCGAACCCACAGTTGCTGCCTCTGCACATAGGGCACGCAACATATCCGCTAGGCCACTGGTGCTCCCCACCCCTTGGTTTCTGAAGCAGAGATTTTAAGCCCAATGATGGCGGTCTGCATTTTGGAAATGCTGTCTGAAACTAACCAAGAAACAGGCAAAGGGCTGGAGCTGAGGCACACTTCCTAATTGGCTTCATATTTCAACACTGGAGGATGTCGCCTTTGAAGAATCCTTGCTTCTGTCATTTTCAAAAACATCTGCACTTTATCCCTGTAAAAAACAGAGTAATCCAGTTGAAATGCAAAATGAATGTTACTACTTTAAAGCTCATCTCATATGCACCGTAAAATTATTTGTATCTGCCATTGACAAATGTACCACCAAAGAAAAGAAAAAGATGTTCAATAATAACAACTAAATATTAACAGATAATATATTGAAATAGACTTTGAGCTAAACTTTCATGGCAACAGAAACCACAGTCAGGTACCTCATGCCACCTTGAATAATCAGAGTAAATAGGCGTGCTCTGGAAACCTCAACCTGGATAAGGTCACATGAAGACCTCACTCACCTGCCCTGATCTGTGCATGCGTGCGACCGACTGGGCTGGAGAGAGAACAGCAGAGCTTCAGCATAATGAGAGTGATTTGCTTGACAATGGAGACAGAGGACAGGTTTATACGAGTGCATGAAAGAGGATGAGAGGCCTGGAGTGTGAGTGTGTAGCTGCTTTCTGATGGAAGCCGTTTTTGTTGCACTCAGCGGTGAGTTTATGTGCTTTCACAATAGTTTTAATGTCACTGTAAGTAAACCCTTTAAGCCTTTGGAAGAGTTCATGTCTGCAGGCATTTACAATTGGGAGGAAAGCTGGTATGGGATTTTTGCAAAGTTAAACCTCCATGGCTGAGAAAGTTGGCCTGCACTGAAATGACAAAAAAAAACGCATTTCCTTAAGTGGCCACTTGAGGCTGGCTCCAAGAGTGAATCAATCCCTATTAAAGCTCTTAAGTCCGACCGGAAACAAAGGGTGCTGATAGGCAAAGCACAACATTGACAGCTGTTCTTGAGAGCTCTAATCAGCCTCAAAACCATCCTAAATATCGCCATCGTCAATTTCAAACAAAGCCATCGTCATCATTATCATCATTATCGTCATCAATAATATCAAGTACGTAAGTGTTCATGAAAGAGCTGGGTATTTAGCTTTCTCTTAAAGGGACTCTGCAGATTGAATGGAGTTTGGTACTTTCCTTCCACCACCAGGGGGCGACAGAGAGGAAGAGTCTAGTTAGATACTTAGGGCCCTGTTGTGAAGGTTGGATCAGATGCCTTTCATTGGCAGAGCAGAGGGCGGGAGGGAGGGAGTGTAGACCTGGATGATAGTGAAGTGATGGGAGAATTTCAGAGACTGCTGGAGGAGTTTAAGCTTTAAAGGATAAAAAAAAAAAAAGAAGGTCACATGTGTTTTATGGTGACGCCTCCCCGAGTATCTGAACAAAGGTTTCATCTCCCTCTTAAAGATCCTGCCAGAGAAAGATCACAGTGTCCATTAATTTTCTCTCCTCGTCTGCCTAATGAAACCTTTTGGCTCAAATGGAAAACTTTGTAAGCGAGTGCTAGATATTTAACTAAGCCTGTGCACCCTGCTGAAGCACTTCATTTGTTTTGAAAAGGGATAAAGGTGTTTTCTTTCTGCATGTTCCAGTCTTTCTTTTGGCAATGACGTGGAGAAAACAAACCTTTCCCCTCCTCCTGAGATGTAGGGGAAGAAGGAGTGTGTGTTTGTGTGTCTTTTAAGCTGCTCATTTTAAAGGCAGGGTTGATAACTTTCTCCAGATCCACTTTTTCTGACTTTGGTTGAGATTGTCTTTAGGTCCTGACAGAAATGAATAACTCATGTTCTCTGAAAAAGGAACAAAGAAAATCCGTCATCTGTAGCAGTTTGTAAGCCTGTAAAAACTTCCACCAATGTCTGCCACGAGGTACCAATCTGATGAACCAATCAGGCGCCTCCCTGTCTCCCTGCTCGTTCTCTACCTCTTGCGTGCTCTAACTCACACTCAAAGCACGTCACAGAAGACAGAGTTTATACTGTGAGTTTGTCGTTGGCCTTTGTGAGTTGTAAAATATGTATGATGATAAAGTTTAGTGTTTACTCTGCATTCATGTCCTTTGTTGTTGTTGTGATTCTTTCTTTCTTGCTTTTTATTCGTATTATATTTTTTTTCTTTTCTACCCGCTGTTATTTGCGTCCCCGCTTTCATGCTGTGAGCTCGACGTCACTGTAAATGAGGGAAACCTCAGTGTCTGTCGAGTTAAAGTAAAGGGTTTGAATTGAATTGAAAATATAAAAATACAAATGTTTGTGCGTCTCTGTCTCCACCAGCATCAAGTGGCTAAAGAGTACCATGACCGAGGACCTCGCATTAACCTGACCTTCAGAACCATTTACCCGGAGCCGGAGGGCCACAGGGCAGGGACCAAGCTGAGATTCACAGCCAAGCAGTCATAAACTCCCCCCCCTGAGAGGCAGGTACTTTAGACACAACGACGTTTGATTCAGGGGAGTTTGAGTTTAAGTGGGACTGAACCTGATAAGGGCCGACATCAGCTTTTCTGAAAGGAGTTGTGTGACTGTGGAGATCACACAGGGACGGTTTGACTTTCAGCTGCACCTGTATTCACCTGTTGCACAAACAGACGGACATAATACAGAGAGACGACAGATATAAAGAGTCCAAATAAGACCCTGAAGACTTTAAAAGTGTTTACTACATACTTTAAATGTATTTGTTCATTTAAAACAGATAGTTATTTATGTTCATTAAAAAAAAAAAAAAAAAAAGCATGTTAGTGTTTCAAACTTGTACTTTGACCCAAACAGCTGGTCATGAGAAGTGTGTTTCTGTACACAGGCTCACTGTTGATGTGACCTTAAATGATTCCCCGCCTTGTTTCTCTTTGGGAGCTTTTGGAGAAAAAAACATGTGCTATTAAAAGTTAAGGAGCTGCTAAAAAGGCTAATTAAGCCAATTACAGCTCATGGGTAATGAGCCTCCCCATGTGTGGGGAGTCTGTGGTCCTCGGGGGCAGGCGGCCCAGGTTTCGGTTACAAATCTGTCCCGTCTTTCCCACTCTCTCCTGCCCTGGTTTCCAGCTCTGTTCACTCTCCTCATTCTCCAGTGGGGGCACGAGGGGCCCAGAGAAAAAAAAAAAGGAAGAAATTCAAGTATTTTCAAACCACAGTTTAAAGATAGATTCTGTGTATACGATCGATAATCAAAAGAAAGGAAGGACTTTTGTACTTTTCCAATGTCATCTTTGCATCTGAAACTGCATACATTGAGGAGAGCAGGGGGGAGATAAACGTAACCTCAAAGGCCCACATGAAGGGACATTCTGCCCTAAAGAGAAGAAAGTTGTGTTTTTGATCGCTGTGGTTTTGAAATAAAATAAAATAAACGTTTTTGAATTCTCTTCTATTGTGTCCTTTGTTGCTGCGATGCATGATAAGCATTAGGTGATTGATACAGTGTATATTTATTCTTGTCATTTTGAGCTTTGATATCCTTGGGGGTAAACATTCTTTATTGATAGGCAACTTAAACTGTAAACACCGTCGTGTGCAAGGATGTTTGTCATGACAACATGATGCCACAAAGGTACATCGTGTTTACCAAATACCGAGAGCACTGAAAGGTTCTCTGCAGGACCTCTGAGACTGACAGCCCGTCTTGTAGTGAAGTGATGGAAACAGTTTCCTGCTTCATTACTTCTCGTTCATGATGTGGATGTAAACTTCCTCGCGTTATAGCTTGAAGTTCAGTCGTTCGTGATGCCCTAAAGAACCGTCTCAACAGCACATACTTCTGTGATGCCCTCTACTGGTACTACAAACAATCTGTAGGAAGACTTTAACGTACTCAAACTTCAGCAGCCAAAGTCCTGACACGTACTGGAACATTTGAACACAACACTCAGGTCCTCAAAACACTCAACTGGCTCCCGGTACAACACAGAAAAGAATCACTTTTTCAGTCCATAAAGCTCTTAATGGTTCAGCTCCTGAGCACATTTCTGACCTGCTCACATACGACAACCCGACCCGGCCCCTCAGGTCATCAGGAGGAGGTCTCTTAAGCCGTACCAAGCATTAGATCAAAGTCCGGAGAGGGGGCCTTTAGTTACTGTGGCCCTTCTCTCTGGAACAAACTCCCTGCTGATCTGAGGTCCATCACTACGGTCTCTACTTTTAAAGAGTCAATTCTCTCTCAAGCATACGAGTAGTTACTATTTGTATGTGTGTTTGTGAGTGTGTATGATCACTTGTGCAGTAATTGATGTTTGCGGTGTGTAGGACTTTATCGGGCACTCTCAGGATTTGATTTAAATCAACATAATGAACATTCGATCAGTACTAGTGTTAGCGCTAGCCTCGTGGCTAACATTAGCTCCCTCTGCCTCTGCAGCCGACTGAAACAAGTTTGTTAACAAGCTTTTGCAAGCATCCTAACTCAGTGCAGGTCCTGGAACGGCTATACTGACGGTGACATAACTGGCACATGAGTTAAGTTCACTGGGCACGCTTATTTCTGTAACATTACAAATGAAAATAGGCTGACATTTCATATTTGAACAGAATGAAAAAGTCTTTCTGTAGTGTAGTGTGGCTCAGTATTTTAGCTATTCCCACCAGCATTCAGGCTGTTTGTTATTGTTTCCTTTGCTTTTTCACTATGATACTATACTAAATGTGTACCATAATTAACAGTGTTTGTGGTTTGATGGAAGATTAAACATTGAAGTGTTAAACCCTGAGGCGGCGGCAGCGGCGGCTCCTCCGGGTGATTCCTGCTGATATTTTATATGTTGTCATATTTAGCCCTTAGGTCACTGACCGTGTAACATCAACTGGCTGGTTCATGTCCAAGCCATACCTTTCCCAATCAGTGGAGTTTATTAATAGTTGTTTGTGTAGTATGGAGTTTCAGAGTCAAATTATCTGATGTTTAATAAAAGACAGGCCTTATGCAACGGTTTAGACTCAACGGCCGGGAGAACGTCTTTTCTATTTCTCTAGTATCAAACGGATAGAGTCAGAAATCGGATAGAGAAAGTGGAGAATGACATAATGTGAAAAGGAGCCGCAGGTCGGAGTCAAAGCCGGGGCGCTTGTGGTCAAATGGTTAATTTGCTGGACCCATGTATGGAGGCTGTTGTTCTGGAAGTGGCCTGCCCGGGTCCTTTCCCGCATTTCATTCTCCTCTCTCTCTCTCTCTCTCCCCCCGGATTTCTGACTATCCACTGTCCTATCTTTTTAATGAAGGAATTGAAAAGTCCAGAAATAAATCTTTGAAACTATCCCGAGCCACCTACTTGGAGGACTAGCCTCAGTTCATAGGGTGCACTCCCCATCTTTAAGGGTGGAGGAAACCAAAAACCAAAACAAATTGATATAAGTGATCCAGGTCCAACTCGTATCAGCTTGTGCAGTGTTTCACATCTTCACTGAAACTGACTGACCTGTTGCAAAGTAAACACAACTTTCTGCTGCACTCTTTCTACTTGTATCCATAATTACCACTGACCAGCTACTTATTGTAGTTTGATGAACATTTTATATGTTTGATTTATCACGCGGCGGGTTAAAGATTCTGTTTTGCGATTCAGAGGTACTAGCGAGATTAATGAGTTAACAACTTACTGTTGTGTGAGTCTTTTTCAAATACATTTAAATACTTGTACATGAGTAAATGCTTGTGCTTTTGCTACCTCTTATTAATCGTATAAAAAAAGTCACAGCATATGATTGGGAAACTCACATACACCATATTTAATAATCGGTAACTCTGTGCTAAGGCTCATCTTCTCTGTTTTTGTGAGTTAAAACTAAACGCCACATGAAACTGATGACAAACTATTAACTCACTGCAGCTTTTACTCAACACAATGTACCTTTCCAACAGTACAGCAGTCACTATCATTACCATGGCAACCGCCTTTGCTGTCCAATCTAACCCTTGCCTCACATGCCAGCCATTAGAATCTCTCCTCAAACTCCTGATTGGCGCACGCTTTTACACCTGGCATCATAAATGCACCAACTTCTTTCTTGACTCTCCACAGCACAACCAGAAAACAGATGTTTAAGTTACACATGACAGAACTGCAGACTGCACGTCGGCTTTTGTAGACTCACACTGTGTAATAGGATCAGCAGACAGACTTTCTCCTTGCAGGACCCTTTTTTTTAAGGTGTGTGTGTGTGTGTGTGCGTACGTGCGTGCGTTCGTGCGTGCGTGTGCGCGCGTGCACGCTCAAGTTAACGAGGAGGACACACAGTGAGTAAGCAGGTTGTGTAACAGGTCCTCAGCCTTTTGATGGAGCAGTGCAGGTGAGGGACACCCCACATGCTGTGTCTGGTTGTTACCAGCTCCTTGATATGGGGCCTCGTGAGGGGCACAGATCGGGATATTTTGTACCAGAAGAGAACATCTGAAACAGGTCTGAAGCATGCAGAGGCTTTTTAGGTCGGGTACAATCACTTCTATCTGAACCAGTTCTCTCGCCCGCTTCCATCACTGCAACACCTGTTGGTTTGACCTGATAACTGCTCTCATATCTGGCAAACCGAGGGGCGTCCAAAACGGCCATATGGGGGTGCCTTAAAACCGCCTACTATCTCTGGTCGGAGCCAAAACCAACCATTCAGGTCCAGAATCTAAACTTAGAAGGATGACAAAATGCGGTTTCCACAAGTGCTCTAATATTTGACGACATCCTGGTAGAGGCTTGTTCATCCAGTTACATGTTTTATAAGCTGGACAAACTGCATCTGATGGATTCATTTTCTCTATTGGTTAGTTTATTTAGCTTATATTTAGGTCGGTCGTTAAAGGAGCAATATGTAACTCTGACCGGCTGCTAGATCCTAGTTTGAGCACGTTTCTGCTCGTGGACTTTGTTAGAAACATGCAGAGGCTTTTTAGGTCAAGTACAATCACTTCTATCTGAACCAGTTCTTTTGCCCGCTTCCATCACTGCAACATCTGTTGGTTTGACCTGATAACTGCTCTCATATCTGGCAAACCGAGGGGCGTCCAAAACGGCCGTATGGGGGTACCTTAAAACCGCCTACTATCTCTGGTCGGAGACAAAACCGACCATTCAGGGCCAGAATCTAAACGTAGAAGGATGACAAAATGCGGTTTCCACAAGTGCTCTAATATTTGACGATGTTTAGCTTTTTTTTTAGTTTCAGTCATATTCTTGCTTTCTCTCTTTGTTTATCTTTTTTTGAACATGTAAAGGAAGTTTTGTAAAAAAAACAGGTGCTACATTTTAACGGTGTAATGTAACAACAATGCAAAAACTTTGCCGGTTATCAGATTAGAGTTATGTCCCAAATAATTGACAAATGTCCTAATCCTGTTCCACTATATGGGGAATTCAAACCACTCATCAGTTTATCTGCATGGTCTTCCATTGCAGTGGATGGTGTAATATAGATAGTAACCATACGTTCTTTTTTTCCCCACAGTGCATTGCTGCATACTTTGGGTCCACAAACAGTGTTTTAAAGTTCTGTGTAGACATTCGGACAGCACTACAAAACGTCTTACTCGTAGTATAGAGGATTATTTATGCTATTTTTGGACAGAAACATTGTCTTCCTGTATCTGCAGCACTTTCCCCGCTCTGTCTTGTTATCGTTGTCGTTTCCCGCTCTGCCCGGGAAGGTGGAAAGGAACTCGGCCTGTGACCTGAAATCAAGCCAACGAGCTGCCCGGCATTCCTGGGCCAGCCACTGTTTACTCGATCCAAATCCCGACACCTGTTACGCAGAGCTACAAGCGTTTGGGCTTACAGGAGCTGCATCAGAGCTGCGGCTGCTGCACACTCCTTTTAGCTCTGCCGTCAGCCACTGGAGCCGATGTTTGGATCACAACCAATACGGTGTCGGCTCAGAAAAGTCCCTGTGCATGCCGTGAAATGACTTCCAGGCACCTTTTTTTGTATTCTCTTATTAGCAGACAATGCACAGTGAGCTACTGGACCTCGTTGGATTACAGAGCTTTGTGATAAGTGTGTTTGGCTTCATGACATTCTGATCCACAAGGATTTAGGAATTAATCCAGCGGGTAATTTAAAACCATGTGTATAAATTCAGATGCAACAGAGTTATGTCATGTTATAATTAGGTATGGAAGTGACCTGTAATAAATCTGAGTTTTTTTAAATAAAGCACCATATGTTGGTGTTAAATTTATCAAAACAAGTTAGTATGTTCTTAA